AAGGCTCAGAGAGAGGAGAAAGCTGTGGATAGAAAGTTTGATGCTTGCCGAAGTTGGTTCATGAGGTTTAAGGAAGAAAGCTGTCTCCATAACATAAAAGTGCAAGGTGAAACAGCAAGTGCTGATGTAGAAGCTTCCACAAGTTCTCCAGGAGATCTAGCTGAGATGATGAAGGTGAATACACCTAACAACAGAATTTCAGTGTAGATGAACCAGCCTGCTCTTGGAAGAAGATGCCATTCAAGATTTTCAGAGCTAGAGAGAAGTCACTGCCTGGCTTCAAAGCTTCAAAAAACAGGCCAACTCTTTTTAGGGGCTAATGCAGCTGGTGACTTTAACTTGAAGTCAGTGCTCACTTGCTATTTTGAAAATCCTAGGACCCTTAAGAATGAAGCTGAATCTACTCATCCTGCCCTCAATAAAGGGAACAACAAAGCCTGGATGACAGCACATCTGTTTACAACATGATTTACTGACTATTTTTAAGCCTACTGTTGACATTAGTGGCTTAGTAAAAAGATTCCTTTCAAAATATGACTGCTTACTGACAATGCACCTGGTTACCCAAGAGCTCTGATGGAGGTGTACAGTGAGATTAATGTTGTTTTCCTGCCTGTTAACACAACATCCATTCTGCAGCCAATGGATCAAAGGGTCATTTCAAGTTGCAAGTCTTGTTGTGTAAGAACTACATTTCATAAGGCTACAGCTGCCATAGATGGTGATTCCTCTACTGGATCTGGGCAAAGTCAACTGCAAACCTTCCAGAAAGGATTCATCTTTCCACATGCCTTCTAGAACATTTGTGATTCATGGAAAGAGGTCAACATATCAACATGAACAAGAGTTTGGAACAAGTTGATTCCAGCCCTCGTTGGTGACTTCGAGGGTTCAAGACCTCAGAGGGGTAAAGGACTGAGGATGTGGTGGAAACAGCAAGAGAAGTAGATTAGAAGTGGAATCTGAAGATGGGACTGAATTGCTGCTATCTCCTTTTTTTTTTAAGTTTATTTATTTTGAGAGAAAGAGATAGCGAGTGGGGGAAGGGTAAGGAGAGAGAGAGAGAGAGAGAGAGAGAGACAGAATCCCAAGCAGCCTCTGCACTGTCAGCACAGAACCTGATGCAGGGCTTGAATCCATGAACCGTGAGATCATGCCCTGAGCTGAAACCAAGAGTCAGACAATTCACTGACTGAGCTGCCCAGGAGCCCCTGCCATCTTGTGACCAAACATAAATGGATGAAGAGTTGCTTCTTAAGGATAAGCAAAGAAAGTGCTTTTTTTGAGATGGAATCTACTCCTGGTGAGGATGCTGTGAAGATTTTTGAAATGACAACAAAGGTTTTCAAATATTACATCAACTTAGTTAGTCAAGCGACGGCAGGGTTTGAGAGGATTGACTCCAATTTTGAAAGAAGTTCTACTGTGAGTAAAATGCTATCAAACAGCATCGCAAGCTACAGAGAAAATTTCATGAAAAGAAGTGTCAATTGATGCAACAAACTTCACTGTCGTCTCATTTTAAGAAATTGCCCCCAGCCACCCTGTCCTTTAGCCACCTCCACCCTGATCAGCCAGCAGCCATCAACATCGAGGCAAGACCCTAAAAGATTAGGACTGGTTGAAAGCTCAGGTGATACTATATTTTTAGCAAGAAAGCATTGGAATTAAGACATATACATTTTTTAGATATAATGCTATCATACATTTACTAAACTACAGTATAGTGTAAAGGTAACTTTTATATGCACTGGGAAGCCAAAAAATTTCCTCGACTAGTTTTATTGAGATGTTCACTTTATTGCAGTGGTCAGGAAGCCAAACTTGCAATATTTCTGAGGTGTGTCTGTAATCCATAGTCCATTGTGGGGATTTAGGCACATTATCCAGGGAACTTTTTACGTCAAGAAGACAAGTGTTCAAATTGAGTTGGTGTAGGTATTGCTCTAGGCATTTGTGAAGATATCGTCTTGTTCCATAGGAGTTTTCCCATGAACCTATTTAAAGAATACAGTTTGGTAGCATTTTGACTTAACACATCTGTCTATCAGAAAAAAAAACCTTTGCATTTGGAAAGTCTGTGAAAATGATAAGATGAAACATTACAAGGAAATAGTGTTTCTGTTCCTAAAAGCCCAGAAAATTGGACTGGTTAGGTTAAGACCAGTATGGCCCAAACTGTACTCCTTAAGTTTCTTGGAAGCGTTTCTCTCCTTCGAGGTAAAAGCAGGTCACTTCTATCAAACTTCCATTTCCTTCTCTAGAAAATTGGGCTCAGAACTGGTTTGCAATGTGACATGCAATTTAAATATCAGAAGTTGCCCCACATCCCTTTCATCTATGTCTATATCCCGTGCACCCTCTGCTCCTGGCTAGCAGAGATTTGGACACAATTTCTAGTTCTGTGCTTTCCTGCTGCGGCCCAGAGCCCATTTTCCTGTGTCCTGCTTAATGCTATGTTTTTCTTGCAAGTTCCTATGTGGCCCTTCAGAATCCTGACTGGGTTTACCTGGGGTCTTCATGGCTCTTATCTTATCCCCCTCTCCTATTTTGCTCTTTGAAATATACCCTATTTTGCTCTTTGAAATATACCCAGTAGGTGTTTTACACACGTACTTGCTTCAGTACCGATGAGTAACAAGCTTGCTCTGCGTGTAAAAAACCCATCCATTTTGGAATGCAGCCCCTGGCTGCTCCCCATGAAACCTTGCCCACTAATACCAGGCTTAACTGACCACGTTTAATTGTCAGAGGTGTGAGATTCACTTTTAAAAAGTGAATCATTAAGATTTAATAAACAACATCTGTTTATGAGGATTTTGAAATGTACAACAGATTTAATGTTTTAACTGGCTTCTCAACTTTTCTCATAAAATGAGACAGTTAAGTGTTACCCGGGGAAGTGACTCCCACACACGCCTCTTGCTCCATCATGCTTCTTGGGGTTCTCTCTCTTCTGTTAGCAGCGAACTGATGCATTTATCATGAGGCCCAAGGGAGGAAGGGAAAAGGAAAGGCATTACCTCAGGAGTCTTTGAAAGAACCATACTTGTATTTATTTGTCTTCCTCAGAGGAGTCATGCAAAGACACACTAGGCTTATGTATACGTACACGGCTCCTCCCAAGTCACAACTCACAAACATCAGAATCCCCCACTTCAGTCCCTCTGGAGGCAACCCGTTGCATAGATTGTGCAAAGGGCTAGATTTTACCTTTGTTCCTGAAGGAAGAAGGGACTACACCTTGACAGCGATTCAGTACAGCGTATGATAATGGGATTCTTTGGATTATGGAGGAGATAGTGAGCTACAGCACTTGCAACCAGGAACCAGGCTGTCACCCATGCTAAGAAAGCTTCTAGGGAGAAGGTAGCTGGTAGAACAGAAGGGAAGAGAGGCAGGATAAAGAAAGTTAAATTAGGAACATGAGCTTAGTGGCAGTTGGAGAATGATGGACTAGAAAGGGACAGTAGTCTGAGGTCAGGAAGAACTGGCAATTCTACCGAGTCACCTAGCAAGACGTGACCAGGATCTGAACCACAACCTGCTGCACTTAGTGACCACTCTGCTGGGAGCTCAGCCCCCCTGCCAGGTGAGCTTTAAAATTCCTGAATCCTGTAATAACCCAAAGAAAGTCTGGGAAGAGGGGCGCCTGGGTGACTCAGTTGGTTGAGTGTTTGACTTCAGCTCAGGTCATGATCTCACAGTTTGTGGTTCGAGCCCCACTTCAGGCTCTGTGTTGACAGCTCAGAGCCTGGAGCCTGCTTCAGGTTCTGTGTCTCCCTCTCTCTCTGCCCCTCCCCCATTTGTGCGTGTTCTCTCTCTCTCTCTAAAAGAAATAAACATCAAAAATTTTTTCTTAGAAAAGTCTGGGAAGAGAAAAACAGGGCAGGAAGAATTCACTGAATGAGGGTCCAGTGAAAGGGCCTTTACCAATCCTCCATCTCTGAACTGAATTTCATTACTGAAACTCGAGAAACTGTGGAGTCTAAAACTGGCCTTTCCCCTTCTCTGTCTCTAGTTAATTTTTAATTTGCTGTCATTGATTAGTTGACAGGAGAGGAAAGGTGTCTCTCAGCAGCTGAAGTCAGCCAATGGGAAGGACCTTGAATCAGGCCCTCAGAGTAGGCGGCGTTCCCCACACCACCCAGGAGGTGAGGTTTGGCTAGAAGGGGGTACAAGTACCAACTTGTGGAGCTTCCTTACTCGTCATAGCACCTTTAAATAATCCACGCCCAGAATTGTTTCATCTTCAGGCAAGAGAAAGTGAAAACGGCCCCAAAAGGTCTAACATCTCAAATAAACACCGTACATGTAGGCACACTTGACTTTGAAATTGGAGCGCCTCAAGCAGACAGACAGCCTTTGTATCCTGCTACTAACAGGTTTGTCTTTCATTATTTCATTTTATTCATTTACACGAATAAAAACAAAGTGAATTACCTCTGACTTTCTGAAAGGAAGGGTGGCCAGACTTTTATTTTTTGGTTATTACGTGGTTCTAAAAAAGTGATATTTTCCCCCGAGTTGCGAGGAAACAGGCAGAGAAGTAGTTGCCTTTCTGTGGATGGATGGCATGCTGGTGGTGGTTGTGGTGGAGATTTAGTTAGCCCAAAGCTCCCAGACTTCTAGAAAGTGATATAGCTGCTGTCAGACGCACTTGGGGAATAGTGTAGGGTTGTCAACACTGTTTCAGCCTTCTCTCGGTCACATAAACCCCTTCCTTTTCACGCAAACAGCAAGACCATCTCGTTCAGTAGTTGGCCAATGACAGTGAGCACCAAAACCAACAACAATGAGGCAATCCTGCATTTGTCATCCCATGTCTGACTGAGTTCCAGTCCTCTCCTCTCCCAAGTGGTGAAACAGGAAGCATCCTCCCGTCAGGAAGAAGCTGAAGGTGCCATCCAGTAGCTCTGTCTCACGTCACTGATCGCCCTCAGTCAGAAATCTTGACTTGCAACTTTAGAGGGTGGGTCCCTGAAAGAATTTCAGAGCTTACACAGAGATGGGGTGTGTTGCTCTCTGATGAGAACGAAGCTGACTGGAACGCTGGAAATCTGCCTCTGTTCCTCACCGGCAAGGGGCAGCTTTTGTGGGCCGAGGTTTCAGAAAAGGTAGGCACCATTTTGCTGATGCTGTAGCCATTTGAGAACTTTCAAACCGCGTTGGCCTTGACTGTGTGTGTGTGTGTGTGTGAGAGAGAGAGACAGAGAGAGAGAGGGAGAGAGGGAGAGAGAGAGAGATGATCAAAATGCTCATTTTTGGCCCGGCGATTTGAAGCCCATTGCTTGATCAGTTTTACTTCAGAAATATTCAGTAATGGAGAGCAAATGTTGAGTCCAGACTCCTCCTCATGACCTGTATCACTTGCTCTCTGGCAAGTGTAAACAGATTCATTGTAAGGATAGGAAGAATCATTCAGGGAGTGGAATCACATGAGGCTGAGCCCTCAGTCAGCACAGCTTGGGGTACTCGGAAGGAGAAATGGAAAGGGTGACCACGGACCTCCAGGTGACATGGCCAAAGCCATCTCAGACCATTTTGGCATGTTGTAAGTTGAACAAGGCAGGATTTGCTCACCTCACAGCAGCAAACTTCTCTAAGCTAATGCTGTCTTGGACAAGACAGACTCCATGCCGTGTGTGCCCAGAGGGCATTAGCTGATCAGTTCCAAAACTGCCAGCCTTGGTTAGAGAAACATAATAAAATTTTCCTTTTTTCTAACTCAAGTACATGTTTAGTGAGGATATTCTTTTTTTTCTTTTAGAATTCTGTGAAATTTTTCCTTAACGTTTATTTATTTTTGAGACAAAGAGAGACAGAGCATGAGCTGGGGAGGGTCAGAGAGACAGGGAGACACAGAATCTGAAACAGGCTCTGAGCTGTCAGCACAGAGCCCGACACGGGGCTCGAACCCACAACCGTGAGATCACGACCTGAGCCGAAGTCAGCTGCTTAACCGACTGAGTCACCCAGGCACCCCATAGTGAGGATATTCTTTTAAACATTTTTGTTTCCTGAAAAGCCTTACACAGAGCATGGGAAAGAAACCTTTGGGACTCACCAGATGGTGAATATTAATTTATGTGTTAATCTGCAATATTCAAGTGCCTTCTCAATCACAAGTGAGGGTTCTGACTTTAAACAGCACCTTTTCATGCCTTTTCCCCTATATGCTTTTTTTTCTTAAGGGGTTGCCACTTAAAAATTTCATCAGATTTTGCTGGTCAAAGGGGCAAATTCTTTAAGGGGGGAAAATAGACAATAGTTACATAATCTTCCCTTTAAAAATACTTCTGCTTATTCCAAAAGCAATCAAATTAATTGACGTACTTTGGAGATAATTCTGGGTCAGTAAACCTACTTAATTCTGGGTTAGTAAGAGTGCCTGTGTGGCTCAGTCAGTTGAGCAGCTGACTTCGACTCAGGTCATGATCTCAGTCCGTGGGTTCAAACCCCGCATCGTGCTCTGTGCTGACAGCTCAGAGCCTGGAGCCTGCTTCAGAGCCTGTGTCTCCCTCTCTCTCTGTTCCTCCCCCGCTCATGCTGTCTTTCTCAAAAATGAATAAACTTTAAAAAAAAATTCTGGGTTAGTAATAAACTACATTTATTGAATCCTTGCTGTGCATAAATGTATTGCTCATTTAATTCAGTGAGATAGAACTCATGTTCTGCAGTTTTCCAATGAGGACATTTCAGCTTAGTGAGAGGTATAGTAGCAGAGCAGGGAAGTGAGAAAGCCCAAACTCTGTTGCTTACAGAAATATGTGGTTGGAGCCTTCTCTATTCCTATCCTGTTCCGTCAGCCCATGGAGGGGTTACTGAAGCCATGATAATATGTAAATGTGCTAACCTGGTTATCTGATAGCAAAAGACCTATACTTTGTTTCTGCTGGGAAAAAGAACATGGGCTAGAAAGGCAGACAGATCTAGATTTGAATCCCTGCTTTATGCTTACTATGGATGTGACCTAGGCAAGCCTGTGAAATCCTTCAAACCTCAGTTTCCTTATTTATATGATAATTATTATAATGTCCATTCCACAAGGTTATTTGTTATAAGAGGTAGAAAGATGAGGTATGCAAAGTGCCTTTTACGCGACTGACAATGATAGGCCTTCAATAAATAGTATTCCTTTCTGCAGTTATTTGCTGATGTTTACAGCATGCTGGATCTTGCTCTGGGCTCAGGGGTATTGGCAGTGACCAACAGAGACAAGACTCTGCCCTCACGGAGCTGACTGGTGGTGTTTACATTGTGTCACTGACTTTCTTTGAAAATTGGATGGTGGTTATGGAGATCTTCCACGATGGAGTTGGTCTGGCTTTGACACAGCCTATGAGGCATAATAGTAAACATCCTGTGCTAAGAGTCCCCCGCAGCATAGTAAAATCAGGCAAAAAGCAAAAGCATCTGATACCTCTTTTGCAAGTTTGGGTTTGTTGTGCTAATCATTGCAGAGTTAAAGGAAAAATATATTTTTATGCACACCTTCACACACACACACACACACGCACACGCACACGCACACAATTCATCTAAGTTTTCTTAGGCCCCCAAGACATTGCCCACAGGCTGTGCATGGGAGGAGGGTCTGGCTCCAAGGTCTCATAAAACACAGAGTGTAGTGTGGAACCATTCATTTCCCTTGGGCTCCAGTCCATCCGTACAATAGCGTTGGGCTTTCTAAGGCCTCCCCAATGTGAATTTAGGGATGTAGTCCAAAGACTAAACTGGAGATAATATACCTTTATAAAGATGAATTTGAACAAGAGTGTTTGACTTATTTACTGGCTAAATGCCTATAGTCACGTTCACCAAATGGGCTAGTTGGCATCAAGAGTAATGTTTTGGCAATCTCTCCCTACAGAGAGATAGAGGAACACGGGGGAGCTCCCTTTGGAGTCAAATGCAGGTCTCCCTTCTCTTAGAAACACCTGCACAACAGGGGCGCCTGGGTGGCTTAGTCGGTTGAGCGTCCGACTTTCGCTTAGGTCATGATCTCGCGGTTCGTGGGTTCGGGCCCTGCGTCGGGCTCTGTGCTGACTGCCAGCTCAGAGCCTGGAGCCTGTTTCAGTCTGTGACTCCCTCTCTCTCTGACCCTCCCCTGCTCATGCTGTCTCTCTCTCTCTCTCTGTCTCCTAGAAATAAAAAAAAAAAAAAAAAAGAGTCCTCAAAAAAAAAAAAAAAAGAAACACCTGCACAACAAATACACTAACTTGATTGGTCCTACACAGCCCAAGTTTGTTGTTTTGTTTATTTGGTAGATGCAGAATGATTGAAGAAATGTTTTGTGACAGACCTAGACAGTCCAGACCATTGTCACTATGAAAGAAGACATTCTAAAGTAGTAAGACTTATTTTTATTTTCCTAAGTCCTATGCAGCCATCCATCTCTTCATTTTATGGGTCATATTATATACATTGCCTTAAGATGGCATCTTACAGTGGGTTTTTTTTAATGATGAAAACAGAAACCAAGCTAAAAACCTAATTAAAATAAATTAAGACTTAGGTAAAAGCCCTAAAATGGCAAGTAAATGGAGATATTAAGAATTTTTGACCTTGTACAACACTGTGACAGCCAAAATTCTTCACAGGATTTTCTGTTGATGGAAGACAGATGTTTGCTTATAAGTAGACATTAGTAATCACTGTGTTTTAAAGACAGTTATTTTCAAATTTCATTATTATTATACCTTAAAGTCTGAGAAAGCCCACCAACAAATAGATGGTGGCTCTAAAGAGAAGGGGATTTAACTTAGGTGACCTTGACACAAACTTCACCTTTCCTAAGTATGAGAATTTAAAAGTTCCTAAGCTGTGAGTGTCTATATTCCTCTCAATTGTAAATAAATGTAAAGTCAAAGGGGTTTGATTCATTTTAATAACCATTTATTTTCATTTTTTTCTCTTTTTTTATTTTCTTTTTGCCATCCTGGTCACTAAATTTTGTGAAGAGGGTTCATACTGCATTCTTAAGGAGAGTAAACTGAAATGACCAGAGGCCTAACATATAGCTGGTATTTGGTTTATGGAGGTTTCAATTCAGTGGAAAACATCCTTTTTATTTATCTTTAGGAAATAGCAAGAAATGGAGATATTTAATGAAAATCTCCAAATCTCTCTGTTTAAGATTGGCACACACGTGCGCACGCACACACACACATACACACACACACACACACACCACAGTTTCTCTCTTGCACACATACGTTCACATGCAGGTGCATAATATAAAAATAAAACCAAAAGATACATACATATTGTGTGTTTGTGCAACCATGGATTACTTCCCCTCCTGTCATAGATGGTTCTCCCATCTCTGTAGCTGGGCCTTCTGAAACATGTGACATGTGGTCACTATGACTGGAGAAGTGAGAAATGAAAACAGGTCTCCAGCTTCTTAATTTTCTTGAGGTCTAATTGATATAGAACACGGTAGTAGTTTCAGGCATATGGCATAATAATTCAACATTTGTATCTCTTGTGAAATGACCACCAAATATATCCTTCCTTTCTCTTTTAATGGGAAACTTGTGAAATTCACAGCTAAGGCATGTATTTAGGTTATATGAAGAGATAAAATATTACATTAAGGGGCTTGAAAAGATTTTTATTTACTATATCCATATTCTAAAATGAAGTATTTAGGGAAAATCATATGCCACAATCTGTTTGTTCTCTACAGAGTACTTGTATGCAAGAACAAAGCCTTTTTCTCTTATTTTGATTCCTTTGCCAGACATATTTTAGTGGATGGTCAATAAATAGTTCTTGATTAGATTGATCCTGACACAAGCTGAACAATAAAATAATCCTTTCAAGATTCAAGCAAAAATTCTATGAGCATTTTCTTCAATAACAAAGGTTTCTTAACATCATTTAATAGCTAAATTGGCTTCAATTTTTTCCCCTCAAATTTTGTTTTCTTGTTTGACATCCAATTAAAACTTGAAAACCATAAAATATGCTAATGCTGAACAAATCTCAAATTGTGCAGATTAGCAATTTTCATTTGTAATGTTCACATCACGGACTCATTATCTTATTCCACTTTGGGTCAAAGTTGCAGGGTTTTATAATGAGCTCCTCCCTTTCTCTGATTTGTTTCTAATGGAAATCTGCTTTGTGTAGAATTCTGGTCTATAACCAATGGTATAAGAGTAAAACTTCAGAGCATTTCTACATGATGACTACAAGATAACATGCAAGCTGGATTTTCCCAAGTTATTGCTTCACAGATTACATTATTGTAGTGGATTTCAAACCTTTTTTTTTTTTTTTTGGACCATCACTGATGGTAAGAAATGCTTTTAGATCTCAATTTAAACACACACACACACACACACACACACACACACACTAACTGAAATAAAAATTTCACAAAACAATACTTGGTACATATTGATGTTTTCTCTTCTATTCCATTCCATTCCACTCTATGAAATTTCTGGTCATAGCTGCTAATAAATTTTGTGACCTACTTATAGTGATTCGCAAAACTGTGGAATATAAGAATCAACTAGGGAACTTAAAAAAATGAAAAAAACTAAAGCCAAAGGCACAGTAGACTGATGAAATCTACTAGAGATTCTAGAAGTAAGCCTCCATTCTTTGGACCCTTGATTTATGATAATGTTGATACTATGCAGAAGAGATAGTTGTTTGAATATACAGATAGGGGAAAAAACCTAGAATCCTGATTCTAGCCTCAAAATTTATACACATCTGAGTGTTAATTTAGATGTGGCAGGTAAAACTATAATTTCTAGATCTGTGTTATTCTGGTATGATAGCTGCTAGCCACTTATTGCTGTTGAGTCCCTGAAACATGGCTCATCCAATAGAGATAGGTTCTAAGTGCAAAATGCACATCAGATTTCAAAAATTTACTGTAGATAAAAAATTTATGATGTCTTATTAATAATTTTTATATTGTTTATATGTTGAAATGATAGTATTTGGGATATATTGGGTTAAATAAAATACAATATTACAATTAATTTCACTTTTTTTCTTATTTTCTTAAATGTGACTAGGAGAAAACTTTAAATTACATATTTGGCTCCCACTATTTTTCTATTGGACAGCATCATTCTCGATGACAAAATAGAATATATTAATGACCTCGGGATAGGCAGTAATTTTTTTAAACAAGACACAAAAAGTACTAGCACAACAAAAAAAGATCTATAAATTGGACTCTCCTAAAACTAATAACTTCTTTCTATCAAAGCTTACCATTAAAAGAGTAGAAGACAAGCTGCACAGGGGAAGGAGATGTTTGCCATACATATAAACAATACAGAGTCAAGTTCAGAATCAATAAACAAGTCCATTAAAAAAGGTAAACTAAAACAATAGAAAATAGGGCAAGAGGTAGTTTTAATGTTTATTTTTGAGAGAGACAGAGAGAGTGAGAGAGAGGGCAGGAGAGGGATAGAGAGAGAGACAAAGATAGAATCCCAAACAGGCTCTGCGCAGTCAGCGCAGAGCCCAACGTGGGGCTCAGACTCACGAACCATGAGATCATGACCTGAGCCAAAATCAGGAGTCAGATGTTTAACCAACTGAGCCAACCAGGGGTACCTGAGCAAGAGATTTGAACAGGTACTTTACAAAAGAGCATATCCAAATGGCCAAGAAACATGAAACATGCTTAAAAGTACAGAAAAGGGTACTTCACCTTATTAACCATTAGGGGAATGCAAATTAAAACCACAGTAAAGTACCACTACACACCCACCAGAGAGGCTCAAATTTAAAAGACAGACAACAGAGGTGTTGGTGAGAATGTGGGGCAGCTAGAACTCTCATACACACATGTGGGAGTATAAATTGGCACAACAGCTTTCAAAAACTATGTAATGATATGCCCTACAGAAATGCATATATGTTTACCAAAGGTATGTTTGAGAATGTTCACAAATAGTAGCATTATTCATTACAGCCCCTGAAACAACCCACATTTCCTTCAACAGGAGAATAAAAAAAAATAGATTGTGATATAGTCATATCATGGAATACTAAACACCAGTGAAAATGAGTCAATCACTGTTACATGCATCAGCCTGGATGTATCTTGGTCATAAATGTTGAGGGAGACTCTAGATGCAGAAGAATGCATTCAGTGGGATTCTGTTCATGTAAGTTCAAGAATAGGCAACATTAATCCATGCTATTAGAAGTTAGGCTAGGATAGTTGGGGAGAGTGGGGTCGTGACTGGGAAGGGACACAAATGAGGGGTCTGGGATGCTGGTAACATCCTGTTTCTTGGTCTGGCTGCTGGTTCTAACACAGGTGTGTTTACTTTTGTGATTTGTTACTTTACCACCAGTACACTGTGGTTTAATAAATCTGTTTGTTGAGCAACAATAACAATAATCCGGATGACATGATGGCACCTTCAGAGATCCTGATTTATGTGCTCTGACTAAGGGGAGTGCATGACTTAAAAATATGTTCCAGATAATTCCCATAGAGAGCCATAGTTGAGAGCCAGTATGCTAATGGGTCAAAACTGGCTCTTTCAAAAACCATGCGCTGATACAACTATAATCATTAAACAAGGCTGTGCTAGGCCATATTATCTTTACTTAGCCTGCACTGACATTGAAGACATAATTCACATTGATAAATCTTAGAGACGTAAGGAATCACAAAGTTAAATGCCTTAGAAAGCCAGGCAGGTAACTGAAATAAGCAGTGGGCCTGGTGATTAAGCTTGTGCCTCCCTTAAGGCCTGCAGCTCCTGTGATTATTTCCAGATCTTCTGGTCTTTTCAAATGAAGCTGGAGATCTGGAGTTTTATGTGAAAATTCCTAAATTTGAAACGTTGGCTCAAATTGTTTTAAAGCACTATGGAGGTCAAACAAAACTGATTGGGAGGTCCAATTCGGCCTATACCAATATCTGCCACTGGTTTGTAATTCTGACTTAAAGTGTTAGAGCTAGAAGCAAACTTATGGGTATAATTGTATAGACTGTTAATTATATTTCCCTTTTCTGCTTCTGCAGGGATGCTGTGAAAGTGAAGGTGAAGCTTTTATATATATATACAAACACACGCATACACACATAGGACGTGAATTCCTTCGCAGAAAGCTCTCATATATACTCAAGGTAATTACTGTTCATTTTATTTTTACATTTGATGTTTAATTTATTTTCCGTCTTGTTTTATTTTATCTCTGCTGTGTTTTCTTAGCTGTGATCTTGAAAAACTACATCTGTGACCCAAAGCTTTATTATTATATGATATTGCTTTATGTGTTCTGGGAAGGAGAGATGTCTGGGCAAGGCAAGTGCCATGTTCTTCTCTATGAAATACTGTAGATCCATATTCTGTTCTCTTTGAGAGGAGAGAGGTGGAAAGTTTCCTTTGACAGTACCAGGCAGTGAAGGGCTCCACAAGCTTAGAAGGATGTGCCGTCTGTGCTCTGCTCTGGCCCCCACCCTCTCCTTCCCATTTCCCCAAGCCCCCCTTCTAATCGGAAGGAAGGGTTAGCTCTGTCTTTCCTGCACTTTCCAGCTTCCAGTCTCTCCCCTGTGAGAGAAGGACTTTCAAAAGCACATTTCTTCAAAGTCATCTCAAGTGACAATCAGAACTGATGATTCGTATGGGGAAGAGTTATTCACAGGGCAGGTTCCCAGATATTGACTGGAAGAAAGGTAAAGCCAAGAGAAATAGTCTTTTCACCCTCTGAGTTTAACTCTGACTCTGGGTCACACTGAGCAAGTCACTTTATCCCCGTAACCTTCACTTTGCATCTGTAAATTGAGGGCATTAGTAACTGTTGTTTTCTGTGGATACAACAAGTGGAATGCTGAGGTTCAAGGAACTTTTGCAAATTGTGATGTGTGTTATGGTCGTTATAATTGTGATTATCTCACTGACCTTTTTTTTTTAATGTTTATTCATTTTTGAGAGAGAGAAAGAAAGGAGGGGCAGAGAGAGAGAAGGGAACAGAGGATCCCAAGCAGTCTCTGAGCTGACAGCATGGAGCTTGATGCAAGGCTCGATCTCAAGTGGCAAGATCATGACCTGAGCTGAAGTTGGACCCTCAGCCAACTGAGCCCTCCAGGTGCCCCTCATTGAACTTCTGTAACGGTCCATGAAAAGATAATGGTGCTATTCCCAGTTTATAGGTGCAAAAGCAGATATCAGAGCCACTGGGCATCTAAATCATATCTCTCACCCTGTCGCCTGAGCCCACAGACCTCAGCTGCAGGGACCTTCACCCCACATCCCACCTAACCAATTCCCAGTAGGTCAGTAGAGAATGCAGAAGGGATTCATGACTGAGACACACCCCCACCCCTGCCTTTTAGCCTATACTTTTCTACACCTTCTTACCAAAAGTTTTACTAAACACAGACCCCATTGATCACGAATGTGTTTCCCCTGCCTCCCTTCTAGTGTGGGGACAGTCAATAGTGAAGTGGTAACTTGCTGGTGGGGAAGCCAGGGATGCATGGGGAAGCTGGGGTGAATAAACTACTTTCTGTTTTCTCTGGGGAGGAGTGGTTCAGCTGACAGAAATTACATGAGGATTTCTGTCTCCTCTGGTGACCACACAGTCTGGGTAGATCTTTGGTTTCCAGAATTCCTGGGACTTTCTAGAGTTGCAGACCTATCCTGAGGCCCTGTGGACAGGCCCACCCCTAACATTGGAGGGGCCCACGGCAAGAGTGCGTGTGGAATTAGGTGGCCCTCAGCCTGGTCCTATACACCTTCCCATCCCCAGGTCCTGCTGGGCTAGAAGCCCAGGACACATAAGTGTAGATGCCCCAGTATTATGCATCCAAGTGTGAGCTCCTTGTCTCCTCCCCAAGTCTCCTTCTGGCCATCCCTAGGCCTAGGGGTATAGTGTGCTGTCACTTTTTTGAAGGATACGCCTGGAGAAGGGTCCATGAAGGCCTTTGAAGTGGACTTAGAAGTGTTTAGACATGGAATTCTAGGGTCCTAGGCAGCCCTAGCAAGTCTAGAAAGGGGCTATGGTGTGCAGGTGGGCATGTAGCCTTCAGTTTCTGGACTCCTCACCCAGTGGAAGAGAGGTATGGCCAGAGGAATGCCAGAATGGGGCCTTTAAAATAAGGCTAGGGTGTAAGGGAGGGGCTGCTCCTGGGCATGAAGCTTACGGCCCTTGGTACACAGTTGGTGCTTAATGATGTCACTGATTGATGCATGACAGTGTGACAAAGGCTGAGCAATTTCAGAATTACCATGGACTATGTAAATGTGACTCCTACCACCACACCCTGTAAACATCAACCTAACAGCATGGCAAAGGTTGAAATTGCTTCATAAGGTGGCGGCTGAGTAACATTCCTCATAAACCAGCAGGAAGAAAAATTTCCTGAGAAACAGCCTTACTGGATGCTGAGAAGCATCCAGGGCTCTCCTGCACTTGAACGGAAGGATTTCACTGAGGCTCCAATAGGGATCTCTTGGTATATTTTAAGAGACTCCACACAAGTTTAGTGTCTCTCTCTCTCTTTTTTTTATGTTTATATATTTTTGAAAGAGAGAGGGAGAGAGAGAGAGAAAGAGAGAGAGAGGACAAGCAGGGAAGGGGCAGAGAGGGGGTGGGGGGGGACAGAGGATCTGAAGCAGGTTCTGTGCTGACAGCAGACAGCCCAGTTTGGGGCTGGAACTTGTGAACCACAAGATCATGACCTGAGCCAGAGTTGAACGTTTAACCAACTAAGCCACCTAGGCACCCCTAGTGTAGTGTCTCTTTTTACTTATATTTCATATACTACTTGCACTTGGGATATTTGCTGTTGAATTTCATGCGATCCTCTCATTCACCCTCCTTCAGAGCACTGCTGTCTTTCACATTGACCTTAAGGACATCGTATTTAAATTTCACTACCGTGAATGACCCAGAGAACTCTGAACCCCTCTGTCCAGCACATGGAGCTGGCAACCTGCCCTGTGGGTCATGTCTATCCCAATTCCACCCTGTCTCTTCCCCTAGGTTCACATGTTGCCCTACTTCACGAAATTCAGATTAGTCACCCCCAGTGGCAATTTGGCAAACTATATTTCTTGGCAGAAAAAAAGCTTAGCCTAAAGGAAACGATCTTTAAAAAGGAAGGCTTATGGGGCGCCTGGGTGGCTTAGTCGGTTAAGTGACTGACTTTCGCTTGGGTCATGATCTCGCGGTTCGTGGGTTCGAGCCCCGCGTCGGGCTCTGTGCTGACTGCCAGCTCAGAGCCTGGAGCCTGTTTCAGAGTCTGCGTCTCCCTCTCTCTCTGACCCTCCCCTGCTCACGCTGTCTCTCTCTCTCTCTCCTAGAAATAAATAAAAATATTTTTAAAAAAATTTAAAAAGGAAGGCTTAGGAACCCATAAACCCCAAATCAGGATCAATAGAGGAGTAGCCACAAATCACATTGGCACATGTTCGACCTATGTCCTCCAGGGAAAAGGGAATTGACTGGGTGCAAGATGTGGCCTTGAGGTAGGGAGTTCTATGTATGTCAGCACAGTGTTTTCTTTTGTTTGTAGCATAGATTTGCTTTAATAGAAATCAGAGATTGACATGAAAATTATATAAAAGTGTTTTGGAGAGAAAGTTGAGGGATATCCTTTCAGAAAGAATGTATGTTGGAAAAGTCTAGGGTGCCTGGGTGGCTCAGTCGGTTCAGCGTCCGACTATTGATTTCAGCTTGGTCATGACCTCGGGGTCATGGGATCGAGCCCCGTATTGGGCTTTGTGCTGGGCATGGAGCTTGCTTGGGATTCTCTCTCTTTCCCTCTGCCCCTCTCCCCTGCTCACGCTCTCAGTCTGTCTCTAAAAAATAAAAAGAAAATTTTAAAAATTTAGAAGTCTGGAAACCTATGGAAATTTTTATTTTTAAATAATATGTTACATTTTCATACAATATATGCAGGATGTTTTTCCTTCCAGACACTTTTGCAGGCAAAATTGACCTAATTGAAGCCACAGATTTAATCATTAATCAAAAGCTGTGCAATGAATAAATGGAATATTTTTCCCCATGTTCTAGACTTGGCACATGTCCTGCCTAAGTCTCTGTCTCTGTCTCTCTTGATCTCTGTTGTCTCCCTGTCTCTGTCTCTCCCCCTCTCTGCTTAAAATGGAGTGTTTTACATACCTTTTCTTCAAGGGGGCTTCTCGCAGTAGGTAAGAGGCTGGACAGGAATGACTAGTTCTATTCAGTTTTGAGATCTTATGTATTACTTGCTTCAGGTTAATAAACAGCAACGGCTGGTGGCCATTGACGGAGGAAGCAGCTTCCTGGCCAAGGAAGGGAGATGATCCTATTTACTCAAGGGAGAGAACAATAACTATTCCAGAAGGTGCCAATCTCCCAGCCCCATGCCAGCCAGCAGTTCTTGCCATAGGGAAATCTTGCCTTTTATTGTGCTATTTTTTTACATTTATTTATTTATTTTGAGAGAAAGAGAGAACATGGGGGGAGGGCCTCAGAGAGAGAGAGAGAGAGAAAGAGAGGATCCCAAGTAGGCTCCATGCTGATATAGTGCAGAGCCCAACTGAGGACTCGAACTCACAAACTGTGAGATCATGACCCAAGCCGAAATCAAGAGTTGGATGCTTAACCAACCGAGCCAGCCTGGTGCCCTTTATTGTTCTAACATTTTTTTGTGTGTGTGATTTTGGAGTCAAAGAAGAAGGCAGTTGAGAATATGCAGTTGAGATTTTGTTCCTGCACTCCTTCACTACCTCCCGGCCCTATACTGTAAGCTTCTGTGCCCACCACACCTCACCCTCCTCTGAAGGTTTCTAGAACCTTTGTCATCTTGTTCTTTTCCAAAGAGTGCTTCATTCTGCGGGGGTGGCAGGCTGTGCGACAGGAAACCCTGCCTTTTATTACGTAAGCATATATTTTAAAACCATTAAAATTTGGGCTTGCTTCATCAGTGTGCCTTAGTAACCCCATGTCCTTCCCTAAAAGTAACTAGGCATCCTCCTCATCTGTGAGAGGAATGTTCCAGATTCTTTGTTGATCAAGATGAGGCCCCACACCCTCCTTTACGTTTTACTCTCTTTCGTAAAATGATTCCTTTGGTGACCCTGCCCAAGACAGGTTCCAGGGAGGTAAGAAGTCCCTCTGTCACTGAGGAAATGA